AGAGTCCATTTTCATTATCCTGTTAATTATCATAATTCTATTATTATCCTTTATCTAAATCCAATGCCTAAACCATTTTTTTAATTCTATCTAATTAAGCTCCTATAAATATTACTTATATATAATACCAATTTAATACTACTTCAGAGTTTCTTCTTAATTATTTAAATATTGATAACATTCCTTAATCACTTACAAATTTGCTTTCATTTATTAATAATCATATTGACTTAAAAATTCAGATATCCTCACTAATTATATTTACATAGTCTCCAATTATTTTGAGAATTCTTCACATTTTATTTTGACTGATGTAAATGATTTATTCAATTAAGTAGCTAAATCAAATATTTTCTAATTGAATTTTGTGATAAAGCTTTAAATCTAACCAAATCCTTTTAGATCTTTCTTGCAATTAGAATGCTTCTTAGGATCAAGTCCACACTATAGACAGAACTAAGGTCTTTAATCCTAGCATCCAAAATTTAAGCAAAATCCTTATATAATTTCCCCTTCATGCGCTATATCTTGACAAGTAAACACTTTCATTAAATAAATTGATTTATAAAAAAATAATTAAAAATGTTAAAAGAAATTTTTTTTACTTTGTTTTCATTTACTTTTTATTAATTAGTTTAAAGATGATATTTACACATTACATTTAACAATTAAATGTTAAGTGATAAGCTAAACCATAAAAGATTATTTGTCTTTGCTTATAATCTTTACTAATTTATCTCCTAAAGTGAGAATATCCTTACTGATCATTCAATATGTAAGGATATTTATACTTTTAACATTAAAAAATTTTCAATCGACTCTTCTTTTTCCAATTTTTGTTTTCATTTAATAATATGAATTTTGAATCTCTTGAAAATTATTTTCGGGTTTTTTTGCATCAAATTGTTAAAATAGAGTTTTTCTTAATAATATTTACATCAAATCATCGACAACCCCAATTATTCAATCTGCGTTTTGATAATTTTTACAGTTTTCACTGCTTCATTAGCTGTGAATATAATATTACTGAGCCATTTTTATCGGATGGCTTATTTTTCTTCAATTTCTGGAATTCTTAATGATGGTTGCTCTATTTTTTATATTTTTAATATAAATTCATTTTAGTAGCAATTGGAAATACAATTCTTTATCTAATTTATTTCTGATCTAAAGAACCTTTGTGAGGAACATTGAATAATACAACAATGAAATATCTGCTAGATAATTTTTTGATAAATAATTTCCTTTTTAAATAAATCTGTAATCTTTGTTTCAATCGAACCTATAGATGCATTTCCTTCTTAAGAGTTGTATCAGCCTAAAAAGAATATAAACAATACTCCTATCCATAATAAATATTATTATTATAGTTCATTACCATTATATTTTTTAAATTTTAATTAAATCCCCAAATTTCTGCTTTCAATCTAGTAGGTCTGGTCCTATAAATTCAAGTGATAAATCGATATTTTTGTTCAAGAAGTTGATTGCATCTCCTTTATAGCTTTTATTAAAATGGATGATCTACTTAAGGCGAAGATGGTTCGGAATAAATTTGAACTGCACTAGATTAGTAATGATCCAAGCCCTTTATCTTAAACATAGTAAAGTTGAATTTATATGCTAGAGGTATGAAAGAAATTGAAGACTTACACTTTTTTAGGGGGATTAAACAGGTAAGTGAAAATTAAAAAATATTTAAAATAGCATAATTGATAAATTTACATAATAATAGAAAATTTTGATCAGAAACATAATTAACCTTAATGGAAAGAAATAAATTATGTATCTCTTATGAAGGAAGTAATCAGGATGTAAAAATGCAGACACTCGCATACGTAATATGTCTGGTGTCTTCTAAAGTCATTAATGCTTTGCATCTCGCTATCTTATGAGATGGAACTATAATTTGGGTAAAAATTAGTATTTAATGTTTATGATGCTAATCGATTAAAGTGATTTAGGTAATGGTATATTATTCCAGTTATGGGTACTTTACTACAAGCCAGCTGTGTGTCCATTGATGATTATGTTTATTATTATTTGCTTTCACAAAGTTATCCTATTTGAAATATTTGAAACACAAGTAGATTTATGAGATTTATAATATTTTAAGTTAAATCATTAATATTGTTGAAATTCTTTGAGATTTTTTTTCTTAAAATGTTTGAACTTAAAACCTTGAGTTAGCATATGCAGAAAAACAATAAATTAGACCATTGAAGTTTTTAATTTGAATTTAAACTTATTAATTATAATATATTAATTCTATTTTAAATTTATTTTAATATCAATTAATATCAAAAATAACCCATTCTTCAAACGATTTTAAGTCCTTTATTGCCTTTCTTTAATGTATTTAAGAAACTACCTATGTATTATCTTCTTATAATTAATAATAAATTCCTCTCCTTTTAGAATTTTAAATTAGGTCAGATAGTTTCATATCCTTATAATCTGGCTCTAAATCCCATTCTTTACAACCGATTGCATAACCTCCCTCTTGTCTTTTTGTTATTAAGTACCAGGTATTAAATATTTTCCCACTTCATCTTGAGTATTAGCACTTTAATAGGTGTGGGCTGATATCATTTCTTTTTAATGTTAAAATTGAGTTATATTTCTGATTCTCTTTTTAAAATAAAAAATCAAATTTACGAAAGTTTTTCCAAAATTTTATTCTTCCAAATTATTCTATCACTTTTTTTTATTTTTCTTGTATTAAGGCTGAAATCAAATTAATTAGTTAATGTCCTTCCTGAATCTTGCAT